CATACTTAAGGGTAAAATCATAATTTAATCTTATTGGATTACGGTTAACCCGTTAAGAAATTGGGCAAATTGAGGCCCGAACCGATAACCCAATAGTAAAAAGATACTAAACCGTTACCGAAACGTTAACCCAATAACCCAATATCGATACCCAAATAAGCTTTTTTTAGTTTGGGCTATCGGTTATACCCGATATATGACCAATTCTAAACTACCCCACTAAAATACTTCATAAGTTATAACTAACTTTCCCAACCACCGACATAACATTACAACAATGCAACCAGTTATTACACTACACTATTGTAAAGTACAAAACCAATAAGTTAAACTAGTAACTAAGAAAACAAAATGAAGAAGTTATACTAATTTACTACCAACGAAATTAAAAAGTTACACTACAACACTACACAAGTACTTAGAATCGGACCTCCCAATTAGCAACTATTAACACAATAGCATCGGGTGGTCAATCGATTAGCACTCGGGGATAACACATTACAATTTCACAAAATTAGCACATGACCGCTCACCCCATACTCATCATTTGTCATCACCTCATTACAAAGCAATTACCCTCCATATTTGTAACAAAATATACACTTTATGACATTGGAGCATTTTATCAAGCACATGGTAGGCAGTAGTTTCAACTTATCACTTCAATTCACAATAGGCGTAAACCACCACACATATCAATCAATTGCACCACTCAACACTGCCACAACTTCATAACAGCACCAAGTGCACAAAAATTATACAAAACTTCACCAATTTTTGGCCATATAGGAACCCCCACCAAGCTTCGTCAAAAAATAATTCAAACACCATCAAGACACACCAAAAATCATCCACAAGCATAATAACAACGAAAATCCCAACAAATCCAAGCATAATTTCGACCATATTAAATGAAATAACTAAGAAAATAGTCAAAACTACAATTATCTAGGAATTTTTGTTTTATTATTATTACATTTCTGCCGAAAAACAAACAGCCGCATCGCGGGGTGTGGCACCCTATGCGGCGCGGCAGTGGGGATTTCCTGCGGACTTACTTTTCTGACAGAGGGGCCTGTTTGGCCTAGCGCGGTGTGAAGCAAGGTGCCCCACGCGGTGTTGTAGGCCATTTTCTCAGAATTCGACTCGTTTTCGACTTTTAGCTCATGGGTTGCACCCCTACTCTATTACGTACTTATTTTGTGCCTAATTCATGCTCATACATGTCCAAACAAATATCAAAACTCCTAAACTTTAATATTCCTAATCTACCATTATCTAAACTACTCTACAAAAGCAAGAAAAAATGGTTAGAAGTAGTTTTGAATTATAGTCGTCAGCTTGACTCCATCACTTAGGCTCATTTGACCATGATGCTAGAGGATTCCGTATCAAATCCTCCAACATGGTACGATTTCAACTTGTGTCCATTCACCTTAAAGCTTTCATTCCCTTCCTCATCTTGGATCTCAATTGCGCCATGCGATGAGACATGTTTCACCACATACGGACCTGTCCATCTTGACTTGAATTTTTCGGGGAACAACCTAAGTCTACTATTGTATAGTAAGACTTTGTCCCCTTCATGAAACTCGTTTGGCTTAATCAGATGATCATGTCATCTCTTTGTCTTTTCCTTAAAAATCCGTGCATTTTCGTACGCGTCCAGTCTAAACTCCTCCAAATCATTCATCTGCTCTAACTTGTGTTCACCTGCAAGACAAAGATAAAGATTAAGCAACTTAATTGCCCAATAAGCTTTATGTTCTATCTCGACAGGTAGGTGATATGACTTTCCATACACTACTTTGAACGGTGAAGTCCCTATGGTTGTTTTGAATGCAGTTTTGTACACCGTAAAGCTTCATCCAACTTTACAGACCAATCTTTACGAGAAGCACGAACTATTTTTTTTTTAGAATTCGTTTAAGCTCACGCTTAGCTACTCCAACTTTCCCACTAGTTTGGGCATGGTACAGGGTTCCTGTTTTATGTATGACCTCCTACTTGGATAGTAGCACAACAAACTACTCCCAAAGCGGGTAAAGATGTTCTTCTGAAAGAACTCACACACCACCCGAGCATCATTGGTCCTAGTAGGGATTGCTTTGACCCATTTAGAGACGTAGTCAACGGCAACTAGGATATACTCATAAGAATGAGACAATAGGAACGACCCCCTAAAGTCAATGCCCCAAATATCAAAATTTTCACATACCAGAATGGATTTTAGTGGCATCTCATCCCTCTTGCTAATGTTACCTGCACACTTGTCACATGCAGCCACATACACCCATATGTCATTGTACAAAGTAGGCCAATAGAAACCAACTTCCATGACCTTCGCTGTAGTGTGGTTTCCACCATAGTGTCCTCCAAGGTCTCCATCATGATAATGATACACAATGCTTGCCATCCTCCTTTAGGTACACATCTTCGAATCACACCATATACACACTGTTTAAAAAAGAAAGGGTCATTCCAAAAATAAATTTTTACCTTACCTTGAAGCTTCCTTCTTTGATCACGAGAGAGGTCACGAGGTAACCATCCACTAGCCAAAAAGTTGGCTACATTAGCATACCAAGGCGGCCTATCGGGGACGGCTACAATGGAGAAAATCTGGTCATCAGGGAACTCTTCCCTTATTTCAAATATTTCAACCGGAGATCTCTCAAGTCGAAATAGATGATTGATCACGCCCAACTCTAGTCCTAAAAAGGATAAGCGGTCGCTGCAAATATAATCCGGTCTAAAAGTCCGGAGTCGAATCCCACAGAGAACTAAGGTTTTGCTGTAATTGTTCAATATCGCAAAGAAGACAAGTTTGAACAATTTCTAAATTATAATATTAAGATTTTTATATCTAACTAATTAACCAACAAATACTATAAAACGGTAAAATTATCAACTAACGAGACAAAGGTTTGGAGACTAAATTAAGGAGGTATAGAGTTATGATTTCCCCAATTGTTGATTTCATTAATTGTATGTTTCTTATAGCTTTGACTTAGTTGCCTCTATCAATCATGAACTCTCCAACTATCATAAATATCTCTCAAGCAATTATGATAATTTACTAGACGCACTCTCTCAAGCTACGCTAGTTAGATTCACATTACAGTTCACTTAGATCGCACCCGAGGTATCGTTATCTCTAATCCAACCTCTAAACCCTCGGTAATGACTCTCGCCTATACTCCGGGAGTGATGTTGTTCAAACAACTACCTAAAAATGCACTCTCTCTCAAGCAAATACATAATAAATAGGAACGGCTAATTGAGGATCCTTTCAATTAACCAAAATAAAAACGTAGTTGAACAAATAGAGATTAACAACTAACTCAAAATTATATTAATATAACAACCAATTCATCCCCAAAAGGTTCCATTAAAACTCTAGATAATAAATTAGCTATTCATAAAATTATGTGAAAACACAATACTCCAATTCATAACCAACAATAAAATAGGAAGAAGAAGGGGAAAAACTCGTAGTTGAATCTTCCTCCTTGCTCCTAGCGTGTTCTTGCCTCCAAGGGTGTTGTCTCACCCTAAAGTAGTGTCTCCCCCTCAAAGTGGTGTTTTAGGATGTATTTATATGACCTAGGGTTGATGAGGGGCGGAATTCTTCAATCCAACTTCGGATGGGAGAGCTGGAATCCGCGTCTGCCTTCGCGTCTAGACGCGGACTTTGACGCGGATCCGCGTTTGCCTTCGCGTCTAGACGGACTTTTACGCGGATCCATCTTTTGAGATTCTTCCATTTCGCGAAGCGCTCCGTGCCTTTGCTTCGCTTCGCTGTTTTGTGCCTTAACTTTTCTCCTTTTTCGCGTCTGACTTCGTGCCACGCACGAGAATAGACGAGCTCCCACTCCTTTAATTTCTTCTTTTTGTGTCGAATTGTCATCTTTTAATCATCTATCATCCAAACTCGTTCCTACACATAAGAAACACATAATGAGTATATTTCACTTTGAAAATCATTTAATCTCCCGCGACACACACAAGAATTAATATGCAAATATACTCAAAAATATACATTTTTCATCATTTATCAATGATCTACGACATGATTTTATGTGCCCTTCCTATCTTTTGTATCCAAGACAAACTCTTGGAGCAACAACACCCACGCATCAGACGCGGCTTGGACTCCTTCTCACTCAACATGTATTTCAAGGCAGAGTGATCATCGTGTACAATCACTTTACTCCCCACAAGATATGATCTAAACTTGTCAAAAGCAAAGACCACAGTAAAGAACTCTTTCTCAGTAGTAGAATAGTTGACTTGAGCATCATTCAACGTCCTGTTTGCATAGTAGATGGGCCTAAACATCTTATCATTCCTTTGCCCCAGAAATGCCCCCACAGCTACATCACTAGCATCACACATTATCTCAAATAGCTGGCTCCAATCAGGTGTTACGATAATCGGAGCACTCACAAGCTTTTCCTTTATCAATTCGAATGCTCTTAAGCACTCCACAGTGAAAACAAACTTGACATCTTTCGCTAGCAATGCAGTCAACGACTTGGTAATGCTTGAAAAGTTTTTGATGAACCTCCTATAGAACCCAGCATGTCCCAAGAAACTCCTTATGCTCTTCACAGAAGTCGGTGCAGGGAGCCTAGCAATTACATCAAACTTAGCTCTATCAACTTCAATGCCATGTGCAGTCATTTTGTGGCCCATGACAATTCCCTCTTTTACCATGAAGTGGCACTTTTCCCAATTAAGAACCAAGTGAGTGGCTTCACAATGTTCAAGCACAAGCTCCAAATTCTTCAAGCAATCCTCAAAGTCATCACCAAAGAGGGTGAAATCATCCATGATACCTCTAGACACTTCCCATTTAAATCAGAAAATATAGATATCATGCACCTCTGAAAAGTAGCAGGTGTATTACACAAACCAAATGGCATCCTCCTGTAAGCAAAAATACCTGACGGGAAAGTGAATGTAGTCTTCTCAACATCTTCTGGGGCAATAGGTATCTAATTGTAGCCTGGGCACCCATCCAAGAAGCAGTAGCATCCATGTCCAGCCACTTTCTCAAGCATTTGATCAATAAAAGGAAGTAGAAAGTGGTCCTTCCTTGTTGCATCATTCAGCCTTCTATAAGCAATGCGCATTCTCCACCCAGTGACTGTTCTTGTGGGGATCAATTCATTATCTTCATTCTTCACCATTGCCCCCCCCCCCCCCGAATTCTTAGGTACAACTTGCACTGGACTAATCCACTGACTATCAGAGGTAGGGAAAATCACTCCCGCATCTAGCAATTTGATGATCTTCTTATGCAGTAACTCCTCTAAATTTTTGAACAACTTGCGTTGGGGCTGCACCAATGGCTTGCTATTTTCTTCCAGTAGAATTTTGTGCATGCAAATGGCTAGACTAATTCCTTGAATATCAGCTATATTCCAGCCAATGGCCTTCTTGTACTTTTTCAGCAACTCCACCAGCTTTTGCTCCTGTGTACATGTCAAGTAAGCAGAAATAATCATAGGAAAATTGTTAGTTTGAAGAAAAGCATATTTTAAGTGAGTAGGGAGGACTTTCAATTCCATACTAGGCTTAGAAGCCTCATCTTTTAGCTCCTCCTCATCAATCACTTGATCCTCAGTTTCAAGAGCTTCAGCCTCTTTCTTTATTTCAGGATCTTCATTCTCCACTGTGCTAGACTGGGTAATACACCTCTCTATAGTATCCCCCACAAGCTTGTCAAACTTGTATTTTTCATCCAATTCCCCAACAGCATCTAGCTTGAAGCACGAGTAGGCAGAATACCACTTTCTCAATGCCCACTCTGAGCATAAGCTGCCCCTCGTAGATATCAAGTATAGCTCTACCTGTACATAAAAATGGCCTCCCTAGAATTAGAGGCACCTTCTTGTTCACCTCCATATCCACCATAATAAAGTCTATGGGGAACATAAACTTGTCCACCTGAGCTAAAATATCCTTAATGATTCCCTCAAGCAAATGGTGGTCTGGTCAGCCAGTTGCAGGGACATTGGTATTGATTTGATCACTCCAAGCTCCCCTTCCAGTTTCTTGAACACGGACCAAGGCATTAGATTTATAGACGTACCAGAATCATAAAGGGCCTTGTCGAATTTTTCACTCCCCAAAGATCATGGTATGGTGAAGCTTCCTGGGTCCCCACACTTTTGGGAAATTTTCTTTTGCATTATGACACTGCAGTGGCCATTCAGCTTGACCACCGTTGTCTCCTCCAATTTTCTCTTGCTAGACAGGATTTCCTTCAAGAACTTTGCATAAGCAGGCATCTGAGTGAGTACCTCTGTGAAGGTAACATTCACATAAAGTTGCTTGAGCATCTCCAAGAACCACCCAAAACATTTGTCAAGTTTTTCCCGCTTCATCTTTTGAGAAAATGGTAAAGCTGGCATATGTCTACTTTCTTCAATCTCCTTTTGTACCCCATTACTATGGCATTTCTGCTCTTCACTCTTTTTCTCTTCTGGTGTCTCTGTCTGCTTGTTCACCACCTCGGGTCTAGCTTTCACCATTAGGTCAGCCAATGTTTTGCCACTTCTCAGAGATACAACTTTGATTGTTTCCTTTGGGTTCTTTTTTAGTGCCAGAGGGTAGAGTCCCAGGGGCCCTCTCAGATAACAAATTTTTAATTTTTCCCGTTCGCCTTTCTAAATTCTGGATAGTCATGCCCTGAGTCTCAAACTTTTCATCTGTTTGTTTTGTTGATGGATGCCTTCATCAGACCTTCCATACTAGACTAATTTGAATGTTGTGGCTGGTATTGCTGTCTCTGCTGGTTCTGAAAACCTGGTGGTCCTTGACTCTGGGGTCTAGGATTATTTTGCCGCCATGAGTGCAAACTCCCACTAGGTGAACTCCACAAAAAATCTATATGTCTTTGACCCATAGCATTATAGCTGTTCCCACCTTGGTAGTTTCCTCTATTATAGTTCCTAATAGCGTTGACTTCCTCAGCTGAAGCTTAACATTCATGTGTAGGGTGTCATATTTCACAAAAGTCACACGCTTCTTGTGGCTCACTCTGTACCTTGGCCAATGTCAGCTTTCTTATCTCCTTAGCCATAGTGTCTAGCTGGGCTTGCATGGATGTGTTAGAGTCTACCTGGTGAACCCCAACTGATTTCCTTCCATCATCACTCTCAGTAGGCCACTGGTTAGCATCCTCAAATAATTCATCAAGGTTTAAGACAACCTCTTCCGGAGTTTTATTCATTAGTGGACCTCCACATGCAGTATTCAGAGTTCGTCGCGAGGAAGGTACCAGTCCATCCCAAAAATTCTGGAGTTGCATCCACAAATGAATTCCATTATGCTGACACTTTCTTACTATCTCCTTGAATCTTTCCCAAGCTTCAAAAACCGTTTCTGTCTCCTTCTGGCAGATATTGTGGATTTCCCTATTTTTGCAACTCAGAAGTACTTGTCAAGAAACGTTTTGGTCATATATTCCCATGTCCTAATCGACCCTGTGGGAAAGATACAAAGCCAGTGCTTCGCGTCATCTTTCAATGAAAAGGGGAATGCACTTAAGTAGACCACATCTTTTGATACGCTATTGTACTGGAAAGTGTTCATGATTTCTTCAAAGTCCATAAAGTGAGTGTTTGGATTTTCATTCACCTTTCCTCTGAAGATGCAGTAATTTTGGATGGTTTGAAGCAAGTCTTGCTTCAACTTAAAGTTGTTTGCTACTATGGGTGGAGGTCTGATACTTGACAGTCCTTGATTGTAGACTGGTATGGCATAGTCACCTAATGATCTTCCTGGCCTAGGTGTTGCATTCTCGAACTTGTCTTCAACCATGGGCCGGTTTAGATTGAATCTTCGACCCCTACCATCTTTGACAGTCTCCTCAGCAGCTCTCCGGGCTGCTTCAGCTGCTATTCGTGCAGCTTCTTGTCGTGCTGCCTCTCTTGCAGCTAAGTCTACTCGATCAATCTCTTTGTTTGCCGTGTTATCTTGAGTCGATGTATGACCCAAGAAATTTTCTGTTAATTCTCTTTTTTTTCTCAGTTGTCGTATGTGTTTCTCCAACTCTGGTTCGTAGGGTACCACTTCCTTTGAAAAAGATCGAGTCATACACCAGCAAAGTCAACCCTGTATCCTGCACACAAGTGAGAAAACGTGAATACACTAAAGTAAAAATTGGTTCCTGAATTAGTACTAAAAAACTATTTTAAAACACTATTAATTGCCAATCTCCGGCAACGGCGCCAAAATTTGACGAGCGCAAAGCACAACACAGAATTATTACTCGCTAGTCAAAGATAATATAGTTTAATTATCGTCTCCACATGGATTGGATTTAAACAATGTTAGAATAATCATCGTTTGATTACTATCCAGGAAAATTAACACTTGATTTGATGACTATTACTACGATTAAATACTAAAAATTAAGCAATCAATAATCAATCACAAAAGACAACAGATGCGCAACAAAGAAACATCAATGAGAGAAATAAGGGTAATTGACTAGACAGGTGCAAGATAATTGACTCGGGATCCAATTCTTGAGTTAGTTCACTTTATACTACTGTTGATTCTCACGAATTCAACAAATAATTAGATTACAGTTGAAGTTAATGTTCCTCTTTCGATTAAACATTAGTTTCAGTAATTAATCCAATTGAAGCACGGTAAACAATTGCAACAAATAAAATGATGGTTATGATCTAAAGGGTAACTTATCACAAATATTTCCCTATTTTCTAATTTTATTAACAATTCAAGAGGCTCTTTCGATTACCTATTTGAATCACGAATTTAAACTAGAGCATAAGATGTAAAGAAATTCAATATCAGGCTCCTCCTTCGATTAAACAAAATAAGAAATAACTCCACAATACGAATTAACACTCCATCAATTAATTCCAACAATTATCAAGAATCGAATCCCTAACCAAGTTATCAAAACACCATATCTGCCAACCTAATGGAATTTACTCCATAGCAATGGAAAAGTCATCTCAATGAGGTTTAAAAACATAGAAGATATCAATGATAATGATTCGATACAAACTCCTGTATTGCACCGATCGTTGGCTGAAATCTTGATGAATTCTTGAGTCTTTTTGCCTTGGTTGGTTCTCAAATCTTTCTTAGGTCAAAAGTCCCTCAAAAAATATTTTTTGAGTGTATTTATACCAAGTACGAATGAACCCGGACGAAACTACCCTCTTTGAGCTGAAGTGGGAAAATCTGCAAACTTTTTACGCTTCATGTGTCACACAGTGTGTCGCATTAATGTAGTTTACACAGTTGCAAAGTCTTTCAACTCCCAGTGTCTGACAGACTATTGTGTTAGTGAGTCGCACCATGCGTCGCAGTAGTGCATTTTCCTGTCAGATCACAAAACTCCTATTCTCTGAACTTGTCAACTTCTGACATACATTTGCATTAATGCGTCGCACAGTGTTACGCTTAGCGCGTCGCATTAGTACATTTGTTCTAGAGGTTGCACTTTCTTCCCACTTTCGTATGCAACACCGATCCACGAGCCCCGGATGCGATCCCAATTTAATTCTTTGGCTTTTACTCAGACTTCAAAGCTCCAAGTTATTCGATTTAGCTCCAATTTATCCTTTTAACCCGAAATCATTTCCTGCAAGGCATAAAACATGTGATAAGTGCAAATCACCATCATTTAAGCTCGAACATACGTAAAATGTTGTAATTTAAGTGTAAACCATGACTAAAATACGGATTTCTAGCCTACCATCACTACAGTTGCTAAATTCTAAAATGACAACTTGGAGTTCTTCGATTTCAAGCGAAACCATACTAATAATTTTCAAAACATAATACCAACATATATAAAGTCTCGAAACAAAATTTGAAATATAAATACTTAAAAAGAAGATTATGGTTATTACGATAATCTTACGTAATAAATATTGAAGACCACTTTAGTAGTATAAAATAAATCATGTATATCAAGGATAGTTTTTTGAAATAAAATTTTTCTAATAAATGAACAACTGTGAAATTTTTGAGATTTAAATAGTTTTAAAGTATTATATTTGTTTTACTCAATGATTTATGCAAGAATTTATGTAAAACTGCTTGCCAAGAGATTTATGTAAATCATAGTCACAACAGACGATAAAGATTCATAAGACACGACAAGAAACTTTGGACGTGAATTTTTTTTTAAAATTAAAGCATAAATTTTTTTAGATGTCATGCGCTTTGTTTTATTAAGCAGTTAGGCAAAACAATATTATTTGTATTTAGTGTTGGGGGGGGGGGGTGAAAGATGAATTTTAAAATTCTCACCCATAGTTTTAAATTAGCAAGTTAATTTTTTATTAGTTAATATAATATACTCTAAATATATAAATAATTTAATAGTAGTTGTATAATCTATTTAACAAGAATTAAATGTATGTATTCCATTTATTTAAACAAAATTAAAACTTACTTATAAAAGTATAAAGTAATCTTCAAATTCAAATAAGAAATTATATTGTGAAAAGTAATTAAAAATAAATATGTAAAGTTGTTCTTAATAATATTATCTCTAATTTGTTGTAATAAAATAATATATGGAGAGGGAAACTCTGACTTCTGTCTAGCAATTTGTATCGTGAACACAGTAACCAACACCATCACACCCGCTCCAGAGATCTCCACCAGAACCATCGGACGGGAACAACGCTCACATGGAGGAAGATAACAACCCATGCCTCCCATTCTTGTGTGCCTTTCATTTCATTGTCTTTCCGGCTTTTTACGGGTATGTTTGCCTTAGCTTGAGCACGAGTTTGTGTTTGTGATTTCGTTAGGACTGAGGCTTGAAGCAATAGTTACGCTGTCAAGCTGTCCGCACGTGCTTACTTGAGTTAAGCCCGTGACAACTATTCACTCCCACAATGAATTGCTCCTTGATAAAAATGACACAAATCAATTCCAATACTATGAGAGTGAACCCAGCACGAATAATATCAAAGATAAAGGGAAAGAGAACGAAAGACGCCCCACCAATACCTCCTTTCCAAACTTGGTGACCTTTGGAATCCATCCAAGCAATTAATCTTGATTGACCTAGGATGAGATTTCTTCATTGTCAAATTCGGACAAGAGAAAAATATGGTTAAGACACTACACAAAGGTCCATGGTTTATATATGATAACTTTATCTCTATTAGGAGATGGGATCCAAAATTTGTTCCACTAGAAGCAACTTTATCCTTCACTACCATATGAATTCGCCTACCACAATTGCCTACAAAGTTCTATGATAAAATCCTGGAAAAGGTGGGCAGGAAACTAGGCAAAGTATTCAAAATATACATGTGCACCTCATCTACCCTGAGAAGGGCGATAGGCGTGAATCTGCATCCAAGTTCCACCTGAAGTCCTGGTAGAAACATCAATTACCATCGGAGACCACAAACAAATAATTTTTTACGTAGGAGAAGTGATTCTATGCAAAGGCTGTGGTAGGCTAGGGCATATCCTGAAATCATGCAACACATACTACCCCCACAAACTCCATCTAAGTAGAAAC